GCTTCAGTCACTGTCCTCTCTAACTTCTCAATCATCAAATTCTCCCTCTCTACTGGATCATTCTCATCCAAATATGCAATGACTTCCCCCATTCTAAAAAGGAACTGCTATGGTTTGGATGTGGTTTCTCCCCTCCTAAACTCATGTTGAAATTTAACTGCCAGTGTCATGGTGCTGGGAGTTGGAGCCTTTAAAACGTGATTAAGTATTTAAGGCACATTCATGTCTTTCTTGCCAGACGAGTGCTTCTTTCCAAGAATGGATTAGCTTTTGCAGGAATGGATTAGCTCCTGAGAGAGAAGAGTAGGTTGTTATAAAGTGAGGTGGCGGCTACTGTTTTGTGCTTTTTTTCCACAAGCCCAATTCCGCTTCCATTTCTCCACCATGTTTCGACACGGCATGAATGAGGCCCTCACCAGAAGCTGCCAGATGCAGCTACCCCATCATGAACTTCCCAGCCTCCAGAACTGTGAGCTACGTAAACCTATTTCATGAATTATCCAGTCTTGAGAATTCTGTTATAGCAACAAAAAAATGGACTAAGACAGTGAGAAAACCCTTTTGATTCGGTAGCACTGTCATACTATTGCACTTTTCTGCTTCCCTTTACAGCAAAAGTTCTTGAAAGGGTTGGCGAGAACACTGTCTCCAATTTTTCTCCTTCCACTCCCTGTTAAATACATTCAAGTAGACTTTTGACCCCACTCTCCACCCACACTGCTTTAATCAAGGTCACCAGTGATCCACCCACTGCTAAATCCAGTGGTCCATTTTCACTCCTCACCGTACTTGACATAGACTGGTCCTTTTCCTGAAGACAGCTTTTCCACTTGGCCTTCAGGGCAATCAGTACTCCACCTTGCCTTTCCTTTTGCCGCATCTGGCTGTCTTCCTCAGGCTCTCCGCTGCAGTATTTTCTCCTTTCTCTCCACCTCTAAACAGGATCAACCTTTGGACCTCCTCTTGTCCCTGTCCACACTCACTCTAGGGATTTCATCAAGACTCCTGATATGTATTGATGATTTTGAAATTCATTAATTAGCCTGGACCTGTCTCTGACTTCCTACTTTTGTTTATTTTTATTTTATTTCATTTGATTTTAAGACAGGCTCTCACTCTTGCCCAGGCTGGAGTGCAGAGGTACAATCATGGCTCACTGCAGCCTCGACCTCCCAGGCTCAACTGATCCTCCCACCTACGCCTCCTGAGTGGCTGGGACTAGAGGCGCGTGCCACCACACCTGACCATTTTTTAATAATTTTTTTTGTAGAGATGGGGATCTCACTATGTTGCTCAGGCTGGTCTCAAACTCCAGGGCTCAAGAAACCTTCCTTCCTTGGCTTCCCAAATTGTTGGGATTGTAGACATGGGCCACCATACCTGGCCAACTTCTACTTTTGAATATAGAGCTGATCAATTAATATCTCCAAATGTCCAAATCCAAACTCTTAACCTTTCCATATCTGTTCCTCCGACAGTCTTTCCCATCTCAGTAAATGGAAAATCTCTTAACTTCTCATGTCAAAAATCTTTAAATTATCCTTGACTTCTTTATTTTCTCTCAAATATCACAGCCAATCTATCAGCAAATTTTGCCAGCTCCACCTTAAAAGGTATTCCAAATCTTATCATGCCTTACCACTTCCACTCTATTATTTTACTCCAAGCCTTCCCTTTTGCATGGGTGATCAAAATAGCTCCCAAACTGCTCTTTCCACTTCCATCTCTGACCCCGTAGTCTATTTCTCAACATACTAGCCAACATGAACCTTTTATAGCCTCAACCTGCAATGGCTTCCCAATCCTGCTTACCTAGGGTAAAAGCCAAAATCCTTAGCATGGCCTATAAAGCCTTGACCGCCCCCCTACCAATCAACATTCTGACCTTACCTCCTTCCACTGTCCCTCTCATTTACTCATTTGGGAAAAACACAATTCTCTCTGGCCACACTGGTCTGACCTCACCTCCTTCCACTGTCCCTCTCATTTCCCATTTGGGAAAAACACAATTCTCTCTGGTCACTCTGGTCTGACCTCACCTCCTTCCACCGTCTTTCTCATTTACTCGACTCTGGCCACACTGGTCTCCTTGCTGCATTTTAAACAAGTCAAGCATGCTTCTGCTTCAAGGCCTTTGCATTTGCTATTCCCTCTGCCTGGACTGGTTTTCCTTCACGTATCACATTGCTTTCTTTCTCACCTCATTCTGTTTTCTGCTTAAATGAAACCATCCTTTGACACTCTGTTAAAACAAGCACCCTGTATTAGTTTGCCAGGGCTGCCATAACAAAATACCACGGACTAGCGGCTTACACAGAAATTTATTTTCTCACAGTTGTGGAGGCAGAATGCTGAGATTGAGGTCTGGCAGGTTTCATGTCTCCCGAGGCTGCCTTTCTTGCCTCTGTGGATGCCCACCCTCTTGCCAGGTCCTCTCATGGTCTTCTCTCTGGGTATTTGTCTGTGTGTCATAATCCCCTCTGCTCACAAATCGTATTGGGTTAGGATATACCCTAACTGCTCTCGTTGTAACATAATTATCTCTTTAAGAGGCCCATCTTCCCAAACAGTCACATTCTGCCATGCTGGGGACCAGGACCTGAACATGTAAATTTGGGAAAAACACAATTCAGTTCATAATGCTCCAGTCTCCATTTTCTTTTTTCTTTTTCTTTTTATTTTATTTTATTGCATTTTAGGTTTGGGGGTACATGTGAAGAACATGCAAGATTGTTGCATAGGTACACACATGGCAGTGTGGTTTGCTGCCTTCCTTCCCCTCACCTATATCTGGCATTTCTCCCCAGGCTATCTCTCTCCAGCTCCCCACCCCTCCACTGTCCCTCCCCCATTTCCCCCCAACAGACCCCAGTGTGTGATGCTCCCCTCCCTGTGTCCATGTGTTCTCATTGTTCAACACCCGCCTATGAGTGAGAACATGCAGGTGTTTGATTTTCTGCTCTTGTGTCAGTTTGCTGAGAATGATTGGGTATATATCCAAAGGATTATAAATCATTCTACTATAAGGACACATGCCCATGAATGTTCATTGCAGCACTGTTTACAATAGCAAAGACCTGGAACCAACCCAAATGCCCATCGATGATAGACTGGACAGGGAAAATGTGGCACATATACACCATGGAATACGATGCAGCCATCAAAAATGATGAGTTTGTGTCCTTTGTAGGGACATGGATGAACCTGGAAGCCATCATTCTCAGCAAACTGACACAGGAGCAGAAAAATCAAACACCGCATGTTCTCACTCATAGGTGGGTGTTGAACAATGAGAACACATGGACACAGGGAGGGGAGCATCACACACTGGGGTCTGTTGGAGGGAAATAGGGGAGGGACAACAGGGGGTGGGGAGTTGGGGGAGGATGGCATGGGGAGAAATCCCAGATACAGGTGATGGGGAGGAAGGCAGCAAATCACACTGCCATGTGTGTACCTATGCAACAATCTTGCATGTTCTTCACATGTACCCCAAAACTTAAAATGCAATTTAAAAAAAAAGAAAGAAAATGGCTATATTTTACAAAACTGAGAATAGTTTAAAGACACTGCAGGATTTAAAAAATATATGAGCCAAAGCTCATATAATTATAAAATTATAAAATTATTTTATAATTTTTAGCATCTATGCAGAAAGAATTTTGTGTTCCTAACAGTAGGTGGGGAAATTAAACCTTTTTTTTTTAAAGAGTCACATAATTTGGGGAAAGTAGGGCAATGCCAGCTGCCACATCTTCATTATCACAAAGAACCTATCATAGATTGACTAAGTCCCAGGTTCGGCTAAATTTTGAATGTGCTAATTCTTCTTCATCATGTTAGTATTTGGCTAAAATATTTGTCCAAAATATTTGGCTCCTGTGCCAAAGACATTAGATCAGTTTGCTATGTACAGTAATAACAGTATTTTATTTAGGTTTTGGATTATCTACAGATTTCAATTATCTCGGTTGTCTCTTGTTAATAAGAATAATGGCAAACTGGCTTTAATCTTGAATCATAATTCTTTTATGAGTTGTATTCATTGTCTCCCTATTGTCTTTACCTTTAACGTCTATCAAATCTGAAGTGTTCACAGGTTTCCTACAAAACACATTAGGGACGAGAGTCTTTATTCTCACACAGTCTACTTCCCAGCCCACAACCAATACCGCGTTAGTCTAGCCTGGTCTGGACTAGGGTTCCGAACACTGAAGATCATAATGAGAGGTGGTGATGGCAAAGATGGTAGTTTCCTTCTATGATATTGATATCAGATATTTTCAGAAATAGTTTGAACATTCCTAACTCATGCTTAGTAGAATTTTATGACCTTCTCACTCATAAATCTGATCCATGCTTAACTGTTTTTATTTCTAGGCCATATAACCCTTTACAGGGTAATAAGTACTGTAATTTTACTACCCACTGTGAAAAATAACACCCCATTCTTGTCTTTCTCGGTTTCAGTGAATCCTCATCAATTCTAAGATTCTAATATTGGTGATCAAATCTCTGTTCACTCTACTACCAATGTAACTTCAATTATTTCCCCTTTTAGGATTTGCACAGACCCAAATGGCCTAAAATTTTAGGCTGTTTATAAATAATCACATATAAAAACTAAAACAATATAGGCTAAATTATGGTGAGTTAATCTGATGAAAACAGGAAGTAGGAAATAGCAGAAAGTCAAGATAATAATTCTGTTTTCCTAACATTATCTATCTGTATGTCTCTGTCTCCCCAATGTAAACTCCTTCAGGATAGAAGCTGGTTTTTATTCATTTTTAGTGCTGCCCCCACCCCCGACCCACTTTATCCCAGCAGAATTATTCTCAAACATCTGTACATCTAGATCACCTGAAGGGTTTATTAAAATTGATTACTGATCGATACCCCTAGAGCTTCTCATTCAGTAGGTGTGGGGTGGAGTCTGCAGATTTGCATATCTAATGAGTTCCCAGGCGACTCTGATGTTGCTTGTCTGGGGACCATACCTGGAGAACTACTCCCCGCCTCAGCACAGAGAACGCTTTCAGAAAATGTTGGTTGCACCGAATTGAAGCAATCTAGTTGAAGAGAAGACATTAGACAAAGAGTGTAGTAAGATTAGTATATTAGTTGGAGTAGTCCCTAAAGTATTGGGACCCAGAGATCACAAGACAAAGTAGCTTACATATGATAAAAGTTATTTCATCACACAACAGTCCAGAGGTAGGTGAGTAGTCCAGGGTGGAAAGGTAGCTGTGCTTGCTGAGGCCAGAAACCCAGGCTGAGGGGTTGACTCTGTCCGTCTTTTCTTTACGGCTTTCAGCAATGGGTCAAACATGCTGTTCCAGAATGTGTGGACAAAGAGAAGCACTTTGCTTTAAAAAAGATGTGACTCTGAAATCGCACAAATCACTTTTCGCTCATAACCCATTGGCTAGAGCTAATTTACAAAGCCATACCTTGGGTAGGCTGGGAAATTTATTCTCTACCTGGGGCTATGTGCTCTGATAACACTCAGAGTGAGGGTTTTATTACTAAAACGTGATATGGACAGGAGATAGGGATATGCTGGGTGGAAAAGGGTGATCTCCCTGCAAAGGCCCCACCCTCCAGCCTGGATCCCTGTGGCCCTAAATAAGAACAGGCATTTCTGTTTTTATGCCCCAAAAGCTGCCTTTTAGCTTGCCATGCTCCCTATCCTGCACCCATATAAGCCTTGAACCCTGGGCTCCAGGGGCAGGCCAGCAAACCAGCACACCAGCAGATGGACAGTGGAACAGCACAGCAGAGAAAAAGAGAAGAGGAGGAACATCTGAATGCCAGGAGAAGTTTGGCTGGGGACAGTCAGAAAGGAGTCCAGTTGCTGGTAAGACCAACTCCAGAGGAAGATCACCTTCCCATTCCATCCTATTCTTCCAGCTCCCCATCCATCTCACTAAGGGCCACCTCCATCATTCGATGAAATCTTGCATTCATACTCAAGCCTTTGTATTACCTGATTCTTCCAGGACACTGGGCAAGAGCTTGGGATACAGAAGGCTATGACATTGGAATCCTGCCCCTGTAAAAACGCAGAGGGTCCATTGAGCTGGTGAACACTCAAGTTGTCTGCGATGATAAAGCTGAAAGAGTATTGTAGCACTGGGGTTGCAAGTCCCCACCCCTAGACACTACTGTGGGGCCAGACCCAAAGCACTCTCCCTGGGCCCTGTACCTGCCCATCTGTATGCTCCTGCTCTGGCTAGGGATTTGCACAGTGGGGTGACCAAACAGGGGAGCCACACCCTGTCGCACATCCTGCGAGAGGTATCAGGGAACTCTCATTTCAAAAGGAGGAAAAAGAGGATACTGGGAGATAGTTGGCAGTCACTGTCAAAAAAACTTCATGGCAAATCTATGTGTAAAGTGACAAACATCTGAACAATAAATACAATAAGGGTTCTCTATGTATTTGTACATATTTGGGGAGGAAGTAGAGTGAGATAAGGAAGCAATTATAACCTCTGCTTAATACACAGGTTGTTAATTTGGGATTAATATGGATCTAAAGGCAAAGCCCTTTCATTTTACTTCAACATGTCAATATGCCAGTACATCAAAGGAGCATGAGAATGTCCTGGCCTCACTAGAGGAGCATGGAGGAACACATGGTTTGGTGACTATGAAGTTGCAGGTGTGAGAAACGCATGGAAGTGCAGAATGGGCAGTCTCGATGGTGGCTGGGGCAGAAAGAACAACGGGACTGACAGTGGTTACGAGCGAAACACAGTGGCAGCCTTTGCAGAATAGCAAGAGGGGAGGAGGAGCACAAGACACACTCAGTAACAATGTAAGTGTGCAGTGTTAGACATCAAGGGAGACCATGGAAGAAAGTAATGTAACCTACATGGGAGGCAGGGAAAGCTCGACAGGAACGTTTGCCACGTGACAAACGGCAAGGACAGCGTGGGCGTGCGCGGGAGTTCCGAGGCGCCAGGCTAGAAGAGGGCTCAGGAGGGGGTTTGTGTTGTTTGTTTGTTGCTCTAGCAACTAAGCAGGAAAAGCAACGGAGAAGAGAAACGGCAGCGGTAGCTAAACTGGGCAACGACCTAGACACAGGGAAGCGGGAAGAGATGAATTAGGATGCCCCAGAGGCAAAAGCAAATGACCTTTATGCATGAAGGAGCTTTAAATACAACCAGAAAAGAGCAAGTAGAAAAGGAAGGCACAGGAAAAAAAAAAAATGCAAGAATAATACTTCACTGCGGAATCAGCAACGTCAGAAGTTCTATTTGTTAACTTTTCTGTAAGGGACCCAGGAGAGGAAACTATAATAAAATAATTTCGTGGCCTTCATCCTCATGAGTACTCACCTCCTCCTTCAGTGCAGGAACTTTCTTCTAGAATATTGCTGAGGAACAACACGTTTCTTTCTCACTGGCCGTCTGGTTCATGGTGGGAACACTTTTCTCCCCAGGACTGGTTCCCACAGTCATGTCTGGATAAGCCACAGACTCTCTCATTAAAAAAAAGAAAATCCTGGCAGAAGCCTCTTTTCCGGAAAGGCTGCTGCAAACTCAGGGAACTCTCTGAGCAGCCTATTTATTGGAACAGACCATTGCTCTCGATGGGTTTCCCTACAGAACAGGCTGGTGTGGGGAGATCTGGTGGTAAAGGCCAAGCACACAGCACTCCTTCCGCACTACATTTACAGATATGAAATGGGACGTGACTTTTTCCCAGGAAGAGCCTGTATATTTATATATTACTCAAAAAAAGGAAAATCTGTAAAATCAGACCATTTTAACCCAAATAGAGTTGACATAAAGTCACATCGTTTGATTTTCACGACCGTAGGCCTGCTTCACTATGTGCTTAGGTGAGTAGAAGTGAGGAGGGCCTTTTAAAAAAGGAGTTTGCATTCCATACAGCCACCATGGTTATATCAAATATTAAATATTTTATTTATTCAAAGACTGCTAAGTGATTGCAACATCTAGAAACCACATTTCAAGTTATGAAGAGCTAATGCCACAGCGAACGCACAGTAGAGGGACAAGACTCAGAAGACGTTGGTCATAATTCCTGTTCGATCTCTCACTGGCCTCCAGTGTCCATCTCCACGTGGACAAGGCGCCTGAGGGTGGAGACTGTGTGTCATTTCTAATTCTTGGTGTTTGAATGGTACATGCAGACCAGGCACTCCACAAATGCCTGTTCACTGAGTATATCAGGTGAATCCTCACGGAACTGCCAGGTGTTTTTTTTGGTAAAAAAGAATAATAAAATATTATAATTTCAGATGCTATTTCCATTCTAATCTTATCCACATATTGTATAGATTTGCTTTTCCCTAAATGCTCTCATGTTTCTGTGTCCGACTTTTTATTGAAAAGCCCTTTCTCCTATCCCATATCGATCATATTCCTTCCTTGAACATTCTTGTGAATTACTCATTCCCACGTGCACACAGTATTTGCTAGCTTGGTATCTCTGCATGTCCTCCTCTAAGCTGTAGTCATATTGCATTTCCTCAGTGCCTACACAAACATCTGTCATAATGCTGAATTACGTATCTGAGGATAAAGTCACCAAAGCTCTGAAACCCAGTTTCCTTCCTAGAGAAAGAAGATAATCCCTGCCTGGCCAATATAACAGAACTGTTAAGAGTTAACATATGAGGTCTTAAAATGGTTAACAGTAAAGCCTTCGGGTTGTTCTTCTTAAGGGGGGTGGTTTGAAAGGGGTTCGAAAATGTTAGTGCTAGTGATAGGAATTTGTTTTCAGCTTAATCTGAGGGAGAGATTGACTCTTCCCAGCCAAAGCATTTGAAAAGACGCCTCCAGTTTGACAGACTGAAAAAAGAATGCTGATCACATAGCGAGGACACACAGTCAATGAGAACACACACAGAGTCCTTGTGTTAAAGAGAAAGAGACCAAGAATTGTCACATGCAGAGTTATTTCCTTTAACTAGTAATACGGGCACACGACACTTGACAGGGTGAACTGAAAGAAATCAAAGGCTGCATTTGAAAGCAAACTAAAGACTCTTCTGTGTACAATGAAGAACGTTTGAGGGAATAATTGTAACAGCATTAAAATAAGCAGAGGGGAGGAGGAAAGGAGGCAGGGAGGAAGAGTGAGGGCTAAGAATATGATGGGACACACAAGAGAGTATCACAAGTACTTGGAGAAGATTCTAGACTCAATGAGAAGTGGCAGACTACTCCCTTAAGCACAATAGTTCAGGGAGATTTCTTAGTTCTTAATTAGGAGAAACTAGAGACATAAACGTGTGACTTTTGGCAAGTTGCTGAAGGTTACTTTAAAAGCTGGTATTAATAGTTTCTATCTTATAGAGCTGATAAAAACTTTAAACAAGATACTAAACATAAATGCACTTACAAAGTGCTCAGTAGATGGCAAGTACATAATACATACTGTAATAGCTCTTATTATTTAATATTGTTTGGCAAACTATATGGTCATTCTCAAGTAATCCTTTTACTATCTTCATGAATTGTCCAGTTGAAGAACTCTCCAGGAAGAGTCCTGAACTTTATGTATTTGACCTATTGCAAGCAAAACCAGTCAACTAAATACTGAAGCAGCAGTATCCACAGACAGTTCTATGACAGAGATGTTCTCCATCTGTATTTATCCACTTGTGACAGGCATTAACCACATGAAACCATGGGGTACTTCAAAGTGCTGCTAAGGAGGCAATTTTTAAAATCTAAATGGACACATACCATATCAGACAGTGTTGCCTTAAAGCACATTGCCCCTGTACATACAAAAAGACATTATACAGGTCACTGTGGCCTACTGGGACTCTGGATTAGGCTGACCTGAATTTGAAACCTGAATCTTCCTTTAGAAGCTACATTTAGAACTACATCGAGCACATAGCTCAGCCTCCCATGCCTCAGGTTTCAAGCTTTTGCAATCTGAGGGGGATAACAGTATCTACTTTATTGACTGGCAGATTAAATTAGAGAAGGCAAATAAGGCAATGGTTCTCAAAGTTCAGCATGCATCTGTATCACCTGGAAGGTGAAGACATCAATTACTGGGTTCATCCTCCAGGTGTTTTATTCACTAGGTCTGAGGTAGAGTCAGAGAATCTGCATTCCTAATAAGTTCTCAGGTGATGCTCATGTTGCTGGTCTGGGGACCCCACTTGGAAAAAGACTGTTGTAAGACATGTGGTATGGTGCCTGATATACAATGGGAACTCACGAGTGTTACTGTTTTATGGTAAGCATCTTGATGGTGTACATCAGGAGGGTTTTTGAAAAAAAAAAAAAAAAATCACACTTTATTAGAAATCTCTAGCCCATTTTCTGACACATACTTTTGATAAATGTTTATGAGGCACCTACAAAGGGCAAAACACCCCCACTGTGTTGAGTGACCAGTTGTCCAAGTGGGTTTGAAGCAAGGTTTCAGAGCACCAAGCTACATTACCATTATTCTTACCATCTGAAATATGTTTCACCATTTCAACTCTTCACAAAACATACAGGGAAAATAAAAATCAGGTTTCTCCCCCCATTTTTCATCTCGACTAGAAAGACTCTGAAGGGCCTATAAATGATAAGTGGAAGGAACGTGAAAATAGATCTAGATTCCAGCCTTGGCTCTTTTATCAACTTCCTGAAGTCACTGGGTGTGATGGATAATTTTATGTGTCAACTTGGCTGGGTTAAGGGCTATCCAGATGGCTGGTAAAGCATTACTCTGGGTGTGTGTGTCAGAGTGTTTCTGCAAGAGATTGGCCTTTGAATCAGTAGTCTCAATAAAGAAGATACGCCCTCATCAAAGTGGGCTGACATCCAATCAATTGAGGGCCTGACTAGACAGAGGTTGACTTCCAGGTCTAGCTTGCTATTGTAAACAGTGTCACAATGAACATATGTGTGTATGTGTCTTTATCATAGAATGATTTATAATCCTTTGGATATATAAGCAGTAATGGGATTGCTGGGTGAAATGGAATTTCTATTTCCAGGTCCTTGAGGAAACGCCACACTGTCTTCCACAATGATTGAACTAATTTATGCTCCCACCAACAGTGTAAAAGTGTCCCTATTTCTCTACATCCTCTCCAGCATCTGTTGTCTCCAGATGTTTTAATGATCTCCATTCTAACTGGCATGAGATGGTATCTCAATGTGGTTTTAATTTGCAATTCTCTAATGACCAGTGATGATGAGCATGTTTTCATACCTTTGTTGGCCTCGTAAATGTCTTTGAAAAGTGTCTGTTCATGTTCTTCACCCACTTTTTAATGGGTTTCTTTTTTTCTTGTAAATCTGTTTTAGTTCTTTGTAGATTCTGGATATCAGCCCTTTGTCAGATGGGTAGATTACAAAAATTTTTTCCCATTCTGTCGGTGGCCGATTCACTCTACTGACTGTTTCTTTTGCCGTGCAGAAGCTGTGGCATTTAATTAGGTCCCATTTGTCTATTTTGGCTTTTGTTGCCAATGCTTTTGGTGTTTTGGTCATGAAGTCCTTGCCTACGCCTATGTCCTGAATGGTTTTGCCTAGGTTTTCTTCTAGGGTTTTTATGGTGTTAGGTCTTATGTTTAAGTCTTTAATCCATCTGGAGCTAATTTTAGTGTAAGGTGTCAGGAAGGGGTCCAGTTTCTGCTTTCTGCACATGGCTAGCCATTTTTCCCAACATCATTTATTAAACAGGGAATCCTTTCCCCATTGCTAGTTTTTGTCAGATTTGTCAAAGATCAGATGGTTGTAGATGTGTGGCTTTGCCTCAAAGGCCTCCGCTCTGTTCCATTGGTCTATATGTCTGTTTTGGTACCAGTACCATGTTGTTTTGAATACTGTAGCCTTGTAATATAGTTTGAAGTCAGGTAGCATGATGCCTCCAGCTTTGTTCTTTTTGCTTAGAATTGTCTTGGCTATGAGGGCTCTCTTTTGGTTCCATATGAAGTTTAAGGTGGTTTTTTTCAGTTCTGTGAAGAGGGTCATAGGTAGCTTGATGAGGATAGCCTTGAATCTATAAATTACTTTGGGCAGTAAGGCCATTTTCACAATATTGATTCTTCCTAACCATGAGCATGGAATGTTTCTCCATCTGTTTGTGTCCTCTCTTATTTCCTTGAGCAGTGGTTTGTAGTTCTCCTTGAAGAGGTCCTTTACGTTCCTTGTTTGTTGTATTCCTAGGTATTTTATTCTCTTTGTAGCAATTGTGAATGGCAGTTCGTTCTTGATTTGGCTCTCTTTAAGTCTGTTATTGGTCTATAGGAATGCTTGTGATTTCTGCACATTGCTTTTGTAGCCTAAGACTTTGCTGAAGTTGCTTATCAGTTTTAGGAGATTTTGGGCTGAGGCAATGGGGTCTTCTAAATATACAGTCATGTCGTCTGCAAATAGAGACAATTTGACTTCCTCCTTTCCTAACTGAATACACTTTCTTTTTCTTGCCTGACTGCTCTGGCTAGAACTTCCAATACTATACTGAATAGGAGTGGTGACAGAGGGCATCCTTGTTTAGTGACAGATTTCAAAGAGAATGCTTCCAGTTTTTGCCCATTCAGTATGATACTGGCTGTTGGTTTGTTGTAAGTAGCTTTTATTATTTTTTGAGATACATTTCATCAATACCTAGTTTATTGAGAGTTTTTAGCATAAAGGGATGTTGAATTTTGTCAAAGGCCTTCTCTGCATCTACTGAGATAATCATGTGGTTTTTGTCTTTGGTTCTGTTTATGTGGTGGATTACATTTACAGACTTGCATATGTTGAACCAGCCTTGCATCCCCAGGATGAAGCCTATTTGACTGTGATGGATAAACCTTTTAATGTGCTGTTGCAGTCGGTTTGCCAGTACTTTATTGAAGATTTTTGCATCTATGTTCATCATGAATATTGGCCTGAAGTTTTCTTTTCTTGTTGAGTCTCTGCCAGGTTTTGGTATCAGAATGATGTTGGTCTCATAAAATGATTTGGGAAGGATTCTCTCATTTTGGATTGTTTGGGATGGTTTCAGAAGGAACGGTACCAACTCCTCTTTGTACGTCTGGTAGATTTCGGCTGTGAACCCATCTGGACCTGGGTTTTTTTTGGTTGGTAAGCTATTAATTGCTGCCTCAACTTCAGACCTTGTTATTGGTCTACTCACGGTTTTGACTGCTTCCTGGTTTAGGCTTGGGAGGGTGCAAGCGTACAGTAATGTATCCATTTCTTCCAGTTCTACTGGTTTGTGTGCACAGAGTTGTTTGTAGTAATCTCTGATAGGTAGTCTGTATTTCTGTGGAATCTTTGGTGATATCCCCTTTATTGTTTTTTATTGCATCTATTTGATTCTTCTCCTTTTTCTTTTTTATTAATCTGGCCAGGGGTCTATTTTCTTGATCCTTTCAAAAAACCAGCTCCTGGATTTATTAATTTTTTGAAGGGCTTTTTTGTGTCTCTATCTCCTTTAGTTCTGCTCTTAGTTATTTCTTGTCTTCTGCTAGCTTTTGAGTTTTTTTTTTTTTATCTTGCTCCTCTAGCTCTTTCAAATTTGATGATAGGGTGTCAATTTTAGATCTTTTCTTGCTTCTCACGTGGGCATTTATTGCTATAAATTTCCCTCTAGATACTGCTTTAAATGTGTCCCAGAGATTCTGGTACATTGTGTCTTTGTTCTCATTGATTTTGAAGAACATCTTTATTTCTGTCTTCACTTCATTGTTTATCCAGTCAACATTCAAGAGCCAAATGTCCAGTTTCCATGAAGTTGTTTGGCTATGGGTTAGTTTCTTAATCCCGAGATCTAATTTGATTGCACTGTGGTAGACCTGGAATCAACTCAAATGTCCATCGATGATAGACTGGACAAGGAACATGTGGCACAAATACACCATGGAATACTATGCAGCCATAAAAAGCAATGAGTTTGTGTCCTTTGTAGGGACATGCATGCATCTGGAAACCATCATTCTCAGCAAATTGACACAACGGACATGAACTCATCCTTTTTTATGGCTGCATAGTATTCCAATGTGTATATGTGCCACATTTTCTTTATCCAGTCTATCATTGATGGGCATTTGGGTTGGTTCCAAGTCTTGGCTATTGTGAACAGTGCCACAGTAAACATACGTGTGCATGTGTCTTTATAGTAGAATGACTTATAATCCTTTGGGTATATACCCAGTAATGAGATTGCTGGGTCAAATGGTACTTCTAGTTCTAGATCCTCGAGAAATCTGCTTTTCACAATGACTGAACTAATTGACACTCCTACCGACAGTGTAAAAGTGTTCCTATTTCTCCATATCCTCTCCAGCATCCATTGTTTCCTAACTTTCTAATGATTGCCATTATAAGTGGCATAAGAGGTATCTCATTGTGGTTTTGATTTGCATTTTTCTAATGGCCAATGATGATGAGCTTTTTATCACGTTTGTTGACTGCATAAAAAAACAGCATGGTACTGGTACCCAAACAGATAATATAGACCAATGGAAGAGAACAGAGTCCTCAGAAATAACGTCACAGATCTATAACTACCTGATCTTTGAGAAACCTGACAAAAACAAGCAAAGGGGAAAAGATTACTTAATAAATGGTGTTGGGAAAACTGGCTAGCCATATGCAGAAAGCTGAAACTGGACCCCTTCCTTACACCTTATATAAAAATTAATTCAAGATGGATTAAAGACTTAAGCATAAGGCCTAAAACCATAAAAACCATAGAAGAAAACCTAGGCAATACCATTCAGGACATAAGCATGGGCAAAGACTTCACCAAAAGCAATGGCAACAAAACCCATAATAGACAAATGGGATCTAATTAAACTAAAGAGCACCTTCACAGCAAAATAAACTGTCACAAGAGTGATACCTCCAGGTCACCTACAGAATGGGAGAAAATTTTTGCAATCCATCTGACAATGGGCTAGTGTCCAGAATCTACAGAGAACTTAAATTTAAAAGAAAAAAACAAAACCCCGTCAAAAAGTGGGCAAAGGATATGAACAGACACTTCTCAGAAAAAATAGGGTGACATTACTTAACTGAGGAAGAGGCAAGATGAGAAGCTGCCAGTCATTGGGAATATCTGATTTGTCAGTCTTGACTAGTATTGTAGTCTGGCAGAACCTATTTCAAAGTGTCTGCAGTAAGGATAGGCAGGAGAACTTGGGACCTGCCTGAGGGATTTTGATGGGTAAATGTGACCACGGTTGGCTGAATCTGATTTTAAGTCGGCGTCTATTGGCTGAATTACTGATAATAAACATCATCAGTCATTCCAATACCCACGTTCAAAATCAGAACGTTTAGAATCTAAAAAGTCCTGCCTTTCAGCATTTTTTTTTTTTGTATGCATGAAACAAGCACTATTTTTAAGAATAAGGTGTAAGGATTTTACTCTCACATTTGCTTCTTTTACGGAGTGATACTGTACAAGCTAATTGGATTCTCTGAGTCTCACCTTCGTCATGTATAAAATGGCAGTAAGTCTCTTAATTCACTGGGGATTAGTGAGACTAAAGTGAAATGAATGCAAGAAAATACTTATTAAGAATATAATTCAAGGACTTGGGCTCTTATACAATAAATAAATCAAGTTGAAATAATGCAACCTCCTTATAAGATCATAACCCATATCTCTAAATTAAAAAACAAGTTATTGCTGGAACAGTTGGTGTCATCTCTTGGAAAGCAAGTTAAGTAGCTTAAATACATTAAATCAGGCACCATTCTCAGTGACAAACAAATTATAAGAATGGACTTGTTTTTATGAGATCTGAATACAAATTGGCATCTCATCAAATGGCATCTCAAGAATTCTTCTAAGACCTCTAAATATTGCTTTATAAAAGGGATGAAGTAGGTAAGTGTGCATCTGTTGCAGTAAGTACTCCAGAGAGAGGCACAAATGTACTCCATTTCCCAAATGACTCCTTACCTCAATCACATTTGTGTAGGCCAAGGAGTGTGCCTCAATAATTAGGGATTCAGACAGCTATGGCTGCTTTAATTTTTGTTGTTGTTATTCACAGCATGTTGTTGACGGGATCTGGAACACTGTCGTGTTTCAAAGGTACAAAGTAATATTCATCAAATGAAGCCAATAATCAGCTATGCCAAATTAAATGTCCCCAAACAGTCACTTTCTGCTGGTGAGGAAAGCTGCTGTTTCCAGAATGTATGGAATGCAAGGCACAAAAGCCTTTCTGTGATTTCGCTGAGACCCCCTAGAGGAAACCCACCAATTTCTTCACCTCCTGGCACACAGGGTATGCTAATTCTTTGGCTTTTGCAGATCCAGCTTGTAAAACCTTCTCTAAATGGTCCTTGTCCAGCTTCAGTTTTTCAATTTCACGCTTAATCGGGGCAAACTTCTCGATGACGGCGTCCGCCACGGCCAGCTTGTAGCGGGCGGTGTCCATGCCCGCGCTGCGGCGCACCACCTCCTGCACGGGGAGCCCCGTCACCGCCGCGTGCACCGCCACCAGGTTGGACACGCCCGGGCGGCCGGCCGGCTCGTAGGTCACCTCCGAGGTGCAGTCCGTCACGGCCTTGCGGAACTTCCGCACGATCTCCTCCGGGCTGTCTGCTATTCCCACGGTGGCCAGTCTGTCAGGGTCCGATTTTGACATTTTGGCAGAAGGATCACGGAGGGATTTTACCTTCTTCATGGATGCTAGGTTAAAGACACCAACGCGCACGCACACACACACACACACACACACACAACCAAAACAAAAACAAAACAAACAAATCACCAGGAATGTCACCCTCTAGACCTTAAAAATGCCAACAATATCCAACGACTATTATTTTCATCTCTTTATACAAACAGCAAATACTCGTTGTGAAAAATTCAAGCATAAAAGTAAAGATAATCTGAAAAGATGTGATTGTAAATGTTAATATTCTGTTGATATTTTGGGGCATCTTTTAATGCATATATCTGCATAAAATGTATAGTCTTGCACAAATGAAGTCATACGGTTTTTGCTGTGTGCACCTTTTTAGGAAGGACTGTTTATTTCTTCCCTCTTCCTCTCTCTTTCCTCTCTGCTCTTCCCTGATACTTAATCATTCCCACCCACAGCCCCTGCCTTTCCTATCCCCTAATTTTAACAATTTGTGGTAGTCCTTCCATTTCTTTACCCAGGATTATATAGGTACATACCAACACACACACACACACACACACTCTCTCTCTCTCTCTCACACACACACACACATACATGTAAGAGAGAAGTGACTTGTTTATTGCTCTGATAGAATCAAGATGTTAAGCTGTGCTTAATAGTGTTATTAATTACCTATTTATGGCTAGTACAGATGCACAAAAAATTGAAATAGATAAAATAAAGCCAAAACATTAAACTATTACTTATTGCCTAAAATAAGGTTGATTTCAATGCAAGGAGTACCTTATATTTATTTGTGTGAACTGCTGGACTAACTTAGACATTTATACTTGCCTTTTGTTTCTGAATGGATACTAAGCACATATACTTCTTTGCAATGTTTTCAGCTTAATAAAGATGGACAGTGGTTAGGTTCACTGATCTTTGCCCCTGCCACAAGTTCACATTGCTACAAAATGCTGACAGGGATTTACAGCTTCTTTCCTCAAAAAGACTCCAAACTAGCATAGCCTCAAAAGCTAAAGCTGACTTTTCAGATTCAGTTGGTAGATCATATGTTCAATCTCAGTTGCTCATTTAAGAAAACAGAGTGCAATAATTATCAATTCCCCTGTGTGTGTGTGTGTGTATACATATATATGTATATCTACATATGTAAACATACACATACATATGTATGTATGTATATTATCAATTCCCCTTTGTGTGTATACATATATATGTATGTGTATCTATATATGTAAACACACACACATATATGTATGTATATTATCAGTTCCCCTTTGCGTGTGTGTACATATATGTGTGTGTATCTATATATGTAAACACACACATATATGTATATATATTATCAATTCGCTTTGTGTGTGTACATATATATATGTGTACCTATATATGTAAACACACACACATCTATGTATGTATATTATCAGTTCCCCTTTGTGTGTGTGTACATATATATATGTATGTGTATCTATATATGTAAACACACATATATGTATGTATATTATTAATCCCCTTTGTGTGTGTGTGTGTACATATATATATGTATATGTATCTATATTATTAATCCCCTTTGTGTGTGTGTGTACATATATATATGTATATGGATCTATATATGTAAACACACACACATATGTATGTATATTATCAATTCCCCTTTGTGTGTGTGTGTGTACATATATATATGTACGTGTATCTATATATGTATACACACATATATATGTATGTATATTAACAATTTCCCTTTGTATGTATACATATGTGTGTATATATGTATATATGTATATACATGCATATATACACACAAAAGTATGTATGTATATACACACATATGTATGAATATAGACAGTATACATATGTGTGTATATATATGTATGTATGTATGTATATACAGACAGTTCCCAACTTGCAATGGTTTGAATTATGATTTTTCAACTTTACAATGGTACAAAAGTGATATCCATTCGGTAGAAATTGTACTTGAAATACCCATAAAACCATTCTGTTTTTCACTTCCCATATGGTATTCAATAAATTACATGAGACATTCAGTATTTTATTATAAAACAGGCTTTATGTTAGATGACTCTGCCCAACTATGGACTAATGTAAGTGTTTTGAGCACACTGAAGGTGGGCTAGGCTAAGCTGTAATGTTCAGTAGGTTAGATGTGTTAAATGCATTTTTGATTAACAGTGGTTTCAACTTACAATGGCTTTATCGGGGTGTAACCTGATTATGTAAGTCAAGAAGCATCTATTTATACTTTGTAAGTTATATACTGCTTTATAAATACCATTACTTTAGTTTTTTGGTCTCTTCCATACTTTAAAAATATTTTTAGTTATCCTTTTCAATAATCCAGCATCTTTTTCACTAATCCAACCTGGTCTACTTATTAGTCCTACACTGCAGAAAACAATGAGGACTCTAGCTACAGATCCAGAAGCCTGTCTACAGGAACGTTGAGCTTAGTCCCAAGAAAGTTCCAAGCCTGTCTACTGTCCAATCCTCTCTTTAGAATATACCCTGATGTAACAATTGTAAGTTTGTTACTTACTTAGAATGGACTTGGGCACTGGAAAGAACTCCCCATACTTCTTGTTGAAACTTTGTGCTAGATCCTGAACTAGCTCCATGTGCTGGACTTGATCCTCCCCAACAGGAACGTGTGTGGACCTTTAATAAAAGACAGAGAGAAAAACATAGCAAGGCTCTTTCTTAGATGGAAATGCTATTGCAAGCAGCTGCATTTCCTGTGAATACTTCACTGTTGGTGTTCAACAAATGTTCACCGACTACAGAGGGAAGGTTCAGACCTAAATCTTTAACGATGGATCAGGACAAATGCCAAAGAGATGTTTGTCTACTCTAGCTGTGTTTTTTTCCAGAGTAGAGGAATACAGCCATCGACACCAGCGGGACAGGATCTTGCTGGGAGGGAAGAATGAGATTTTAAGTAGCATATGCTCTAGGCACAACAGTATTTTAAAACTACGCCTCATTCCCTCACCCAGTCAGCACATACTATCCCAGCCCTGACCAGATGCTTTTTACCTCAGAACTGCAGCTCACATTGAAAGACAACTCACCCTACTCTTCAAATCAAAGGTGGCAGAAAGTTCTTCAGGCAAGAGTTTTTCCTCCCTGTCACACAGGGAGTAATTACAGATTTTTGGAATAAGCTTCATTTTCAAGTTCATTGTAATCACAGGACAATTAATATGTTGCAGAGAACTTAAAAATCTACAACTACAGTGTAGGTGGCTATCAAAAAACTATGTGGGATGAAAAAAGCAAGTTGCCGAAAACATGAAGTACACTGACATTTATGTAAATTTTACAAGTGCATATGGAAATGCTACATATTGTTTAAAGATGCATATATCTGTAATAATAAGCATAAAAACCATACTGGAAGCTCCTCCCCAAATTTGTAATTGTAGCTGCTTCTAGAGAAGGTGGGAAGGAAATAGATCTGAAGAAAAGAACAAATAAGACTTAAATTTTATCTGCAATATTTCATTTTATTAAAAAATGAAGATATGAAACCAAAATATTAGAATATAGGGAATGACTTTATCATAACTTTAATCCCATATATAAAATTTGCGTGTCAGATCATGATGTGGTACATCAAATACGGGAAGAATAAACCATTATAAGGAAGTCTTGATGAGGAAAATTTTATACTGAAGTATTATGGTGGGATAAAAAGCATGTGATTTTGTATATGTAATGTTTGGCTGGGAGTTTATACTTGATAATACAAGTAATACAGTGTTCTGAGGTTTTTTAATCAAAGAAACAATATTGTTCCTATGAAAAAAGCAGCGAGCCATCATAGGCAAGTTTCTTACCTTTTATGTCTTTGTTTCCTCTGTAAAGTGAAGGTCATCATGGTAAGAGCTCAATAAATGCTTGCTATTGATATATAAATATACATATTCATTAATATCTGACATGATGAAGGACAAATGGCAAAATAAAGATATGATAAAGGACCTTGGTGTAGAGTACACTGACTCTTTTCACACCGGATCATTTTCCTTTTTCATAGCTAACATACCACAGATATCAATGCATAATCCCAGAGGTAGTCCCAGGCCTGGGCAGTGATGCTGATATGCGTAGAAAACTTACTTGAAACTGACAGTTCGCATATCTGATCAGGTAATCCCAGAATATAAATGATATGTTACAGGAATTCTGAGAGCTCTTTTAATTAAAAAACAAAAAACAAAAAACAAAAAAACAAAAAACAAAACAAAACAAAAAAAAAAAGGAATAGAAAGAACAATGAATGAAAAGGCAAAATGTAAGAATCATGACAGCAGACCCAGATGTGGTTTCTCTTCTTCTAAGTTCACTAAGTGAATGTGGGAAATTCTACCAAATAACTGTTAGGGTCTACCAAATAACTGTTAGGGCCAAAGCTATTGCTGTCTTCCACACAGCCTGGGGTAGAAAGCCACTGGATCAGTGAGTGGCAAAGACAAAAATGGTCCTTTTTATGTTTTCCCCAGCACTCATGGCCCTACATGGTGCTCCTCTCTGGGATGTTCATGCAGATACCCCACCTTTGTGACTTTCTCTTCTTGGGGTGGACTTTGCTACTCCTGTCTTGTAATTATAGTGAGGCTGACATGCAGAGGTCACCTTGATGCCCCCAAGCCAAATTAGCCAACAGAGCAGTTTAAAAAGAAATTACAGTAGCCCATAGGAAATCACAATGGACTGCAACTAACACAGAAAAGACAATTACCATGATCAATACACTTTAAGCACATCAAAATGAATATTTCCACATGTCAAAATGGTTCCAGATTCACAAAGCAACCAAACTAAACAGAAAACACATTGAGTTTTCATAATGACTCTGCACGCGTCTTTGCCTGATGTCAGACCCTTGCCTCTTTTCTCACAATTCTGTGGGGTTTTGCTTTTTTTTTTTAAAAAAAAAAAAAAAGGATTTAAAAAATGTTAATCTTCTTCACCTGCCCCTATTGCTCCTCTTGGCTTTTTCATCTGATTTTGGCGTGTTTGTTTCAAGCCTTCCCTCCCCGTGCTCCTGCTGCTCCTTTCACCTCCTATAATTTATCTTGGCCTGTACTTCCCATCCACTGAGTTTACACTTTACATTAATTCATCCTGTCTTTGATTCTACTCACTTATGTGCCTTACTCTTGTCACATCTTCAGCCTTTCTCCTCAGTCTTCCTTTCACTTCAAATAATTTAGTGCTGTTCTTTAAAAATTTACATCCTACATAATGACATCCATATTAATGTATCTTCTCTTTTCTTCTATTTTTTTTTTTTAGTTACTCTGTGGTTTCCTAGACACAACATAAAACAAAAGACTTTCATAATTCTGATTGTTATTAACTTCTGACACATAATAATGCCTCTGATCTTCTCCTTTGGTGACTAAGCCATTTTTCTTTTGCTTAGTTCCTTTTTGCATCTATGACTACTTAAGATCACCCCACCCTTCTGGCAGAATTACTGTCCAGATTAATAATCGTTGCCTACATATATCTGCTCACAGAGATTTGTTCTCTTATTACTTCTGTTTCCAATTTTGTGGCTGTGTTTGTAAGTTTTCAGTGCGGCTGCCTTTAACCAGCCTGGCTAGGACAGGACTTTGGTGGTGCTTGTTGTCATAATGGATTAATTCCTCATCACTGGTTGCTTGTTGGATATGCAATAATGGCACTCTAATTCAGCAATTACTTACTGAAGACCCACGATGTGAAAGACCTGGTGCTGCCTACTGTGAAAGATACAATGAAGGGTTTACTTTCTAAAGATTTAAGGCCTCCGGGAGGAGACATCATACCCAATAAAGCTCTCAATTCTTTTGGCTAGTCTTCTTTCAGCATCCCCTAACTCAGTGAATGGCAATACTGTCAATACAGTTGGGTAAGTTAGAAATATCGGGTCATTCCCGACACCTCCCTCTCATACAGCCAGTCCTATCAGTTTTACCTCCTAAATACCTCTTATATTTGTCTACTTTTCTTCATCTTCATTATCACCGTCATGGTCCATATTAGACTAGTGAAATAGCCTCTAAACCGATTGCTCCAGATATTCTTGTCTTCCAAAATCCACTCTCTGTATTTTCATCAATTCTGTTTTAAAAGTTTAAGTCATATCAAATTCACTGCATCCTTAAAATGTACAAATAGCCTCCTGTCACTTTTTGGAGAGCGTACTGGATTATCTGTTGATATCTCAGCACCATTCTCTCCCTTCTATGCTACCTCTTGGTTTTCAGGGGCTGGCTGCCTGGAAACTGCATTTCTCAGACTGCCTTTCAGTAGGGTTCTGGTTAGGTGTCGGCGTTTGCCCAGTAGAGGGAAAGTGAAAAGCGAAAGGTAAAAAAAAAATGACTGCTTAGGTAGTGTGAGTGGATACATGGATATGAGCAGACTGCAGAAATGAATAGCTTCCTGCATCTCAGAAAAATCCAGGCTTGACTGGCCTCACAAAGAATGAAGCAATTCAGGAACTGGAAGTCTCCAAAGCAAGTTTAGGAACTCTAACATTCTTAGAAACAGCTCTCAAATGCTGTTTTATGATGGTCTCAAAAAAAGAGAAATAATAATAATTACAAGCTCTCAAAAAGCTTATTTTCAATGATCCTCAATAGCAGTCGCCTGATTCTCAGACACTGATGACGCCTCTTCTCTGACTCCACCAGCCTGAAGTTTCCGAGCAATCATTTTAATCTCTACTTTCTAGATTTTAGTTTGGTTTGGTATCTGCCTGAAGCTTCTTCTTCTTTTTTTTTTTTTTTTTTTTTGAGACGGAGTTTCGCTCTTGTTACCCAGGCTGGAGTGCAATGGCGCCATCTCGGCTCACTGCAACCTCCGCCTCCTGGGTTCAGGCAATTCTCCTGCCTCAGCCTCCTGAGTAGCTGGGATTACAGGCACGTGCCACCATGCCCAGCTAATTTTTTGTATTTTTAGTAGAGACGGAGTTTCACCATGTTGACCAGGATGGTCTCGATCTCTTGACCTCGTGATCCATCCACCTCGGCCTCCTAAAGTGCTGGGATTACAGGCGTGAGCCACCGCGCCCGGCCCTACCTGAAGTTTCTTGAGGCTGTTGTTGTCTCATTTTTCTGTATCATTTTTGCTTTCACTTCCAGTCTTCTTTTTTTTTCGTTTTTGAGATGGAGTCTCACTCCGTCACCCAGGCTAGACTGCAGCGGCAGCCTCTTGGCTCACTGTGGCCTCCTCCTCCCAGGTTTAAGCACTTCTTGTGCCTCAGCCTGCTGAGTAGCTGGGACTACCGGCGCACACCAGCACGCCCGGCTAATGTTTTGTATTTTAAGTAGAGATGGGGTTTTACCATTTCATCCAGGCAGGTCTCGAACTCCTGACCTCAGATGATCTGCCTGCCCCAGCCTCCCAAAGTGCTGGGATTACAGGTGTGAGCCACGTATGCCCGGATGGTTTCCACTCTTCTTATCCTCTTCCCAAATTTTTCAAATTCTTGAGAAAGATAATCTGATTAGCCTAGATACTCACTACCTGAACGAACTTAGTGGAACCTCTCTGAAACTTCATTTCCTCATCTGTAGAGTGGGGATAATACCACTCACTTATTTTACAGCGCTATTGGGAGAACTGAGTAGATAACGAGTGTGTAGCAGTTAGTAGATGCCTGGCAAATAACGCTCAACACATGAAAAGTCCTTTCTTTCCTTTCCCTCAAGGCTAAGTATAGTACGTTTTTCCAGATCAGTGGCATTGTAGGTACTTTGGAACTATTTGTTGTATATTGATAAAAATTATATACATATGTGTGTGCCTTTATGTGGGTGTACACATATACATACATACAGAGAGAGGGAAAAAGAGAAAGGGCAAAAATAATTTACTTAATATATAGCCAGCTATTTGAAATTAGGCATTTGAAAAAATAATATAGATGCGAAATAAAAACTATGAACACTTGCTACGTTTGAGCATTGGAATATTCTGTCTGTATTCAAATATCTTGTACTTAGCATACTCTCAAGCTGAAGATGGTCTCAGCTGTCCATTCCTGGGTTCCTTACAAAGTTCTGCCAAAATAGTTAGATAAATCTTTTATAAACTTATCTGAAAGGCTCCTCTTCTCTTTCTTTCTATTATATTTGTTCTCTGGCCCACCATGCCACTCATTCTGATGATGATTTTGACAAAAGGAAACACTAAGATTTGGCTTGCATCAAAATTTAATGAAGAGGTCACATGTAGATTTGCTGGTAGAAAAAAAACCCACAGATGTTTTACCCACCCTTCAATCTAGCATTCTACGTATCTACATTGATAATGCAAATATTCATAGACATTCTGGCTACGACCTTTTTCAAAATCCAGAAATGTCTGAAACAAAGCGAAACAAAACCAAAAATACCCTCAAATACCTCATCTCTGTTATAGGGAAAACAATGATATGGCCTAAAAGTCAAACTTGAGTTTGAATCCTGACTCTGATACTTACTATTGAGCAATTAGGAATTTCTACACTTGAGAGAAAACGTAATGAGACAAACGCAAGATGGACATTAGCAGAAAAAGTGCTGTAGACCCACAGTCTTGCCCAGATGTTCCAAACTCAACTGACTGGCTGCACAGCTTTAGGGAAGTTGTTAAACCACGCTAGGCTGCAATTGTAAAGCAACGGAATTAAAGAAGAGGCTCCTTAAGCCCCTTCCCATCCTGTGCTCCACAGTATCGTAAGAGTACAGTCATTCTTGTTAAAGTTTATGCTTTTCCATAACCCTAAGCTCAGAGGACTCTCCCATTACAGCTCTTGAACTGTTAAGGAAATCTACCATGCTCATGTGTTTTCTTATTCTGGTGCTGGCAGAACTCAGCTTTTGTTTTTCGTTTTTGTTTTTCGAGCCGAGGTTTCACTATTTTGCCCAGGCTGGGCTCAAGTGATCCTCCTGCCTCAGCCTTCCAAGCAGTTGGAACTACAGACATGCAACACCGTGCCTGGCTAGTCTTTGGTTCTATGAAGAAGCAGGCCTTGAAACAAAATTAGACAACACTGTAATCATCGAAGACACAGTCATCATTAGTCATAACCAAGTAACAGCTCCTAGTCACAGCACTGCCTGGCCGATATTTCATTTTAATCCTCTAATAAGCCTGTGCTTAATAATTATTCCCATTTTACGGTGAGAAAACCAAGTTTCTTCACAGAACCTTTTCAAGCAAATATCCTACCCGTCTAGAAAAATGTATTATTAAGACTTTCATTACGCTTTCATTTGCTACTTATTGGAGCAAAGTGTTCGAGCCTTTTAAGCAAGTCAAAAACCACTTACTACAAATGATAAACGTTATCAAGAGTCCAGCATTCAAGTTAATACAACAAACAGACAAATGATCTTTGTAAGTTTGCATCAGAATTGAAGACAGGCTGCATGTACTCATGTTCGCAGAGCTAAGCAGCTGCTCTTTTGGCTGTTTCCATCATCATTGCGCAAGGGCATTGGAGTCATGCCACGACGTACAGATAACTGTCATCTGCATGCTATTTATCAGACTTCCATGCAAATAATTCAGGTTCACAGCTTTAGGGGGAAGGGATGCTAAAACATTGGTAAAGTGTCTTCTTTTCCCAGAAGCTTTCATGGCAGCATCGCTGTAAGTGCAGGCCAGTTGGGAGGCTTTATCTCTAGAAGGCCAAACAGGGGTCAAGGGAGGCTGATGAGGAGTTAGAACGGAAGAATTGAGACGGGGATGAAATCAGAAACCCTGGCCAGTAGCACAGCGAGTGCAGGGATCAGCATCCTCAGGTGTATATTTTTGAGGAATTTAAGTGGCAACAGTAGCTGACTGGTCCAGGAAAAGTACAGGTACCCTGAATCATATTTTAAAACTTGCTGTCAACCTGTAGGTCGAATACAGTGGCTATTTACATTTAATTTAATTAAAATTAAATAGAATTTAAAATTTAGCTCCTCTGTGGCACTGGCAACATTTTAGGCTCTCAGAAGCCTCACATGTGGCTACTGGCTACAAGATCTAGAACAGACATAGAACATTTCCGTAAACACAGAGAGATTTAAATGTTTAAATCAACATTTAAAAAGCCTGAAGTTTAATCAACGGTAGGGAAATATATATGGCCTACTGGTTATGAGCACAGACACTGTATCCAAACTTCCTGGACTCAAATCCTGGCTCCACGCCTTGCTAATTACATGACTTTGGGCATGCTATTAACCACTCTGTGCCTCAATTTCTCCATCTGTAAAACTGGGACAATAACAGTGCAAATTTTAGAAGACTATTGTAAACGGTGATGTATGTAAAGCACTTACAATGGTTTCCAACACATTGTAAGTGCTATTTAAATGTTAGCTCTTAATATTATGAGTTTCTCACAGACATATTTCTATAATGCAGTACCTATTGCTGGGGAATAGATATAAACTGATTCAGATGTCTGGCCCTTTCTGCACCTCCCCTTGCCCATGAATCAAGTCTGTATTGAATAGGATAAAACAGTCTTGTCACCAGGAGTCGGTACAATACCAGGGCGAACTCTCTTCTTACTTGTACAACAGAATGTCAGCCGCCTGGAGAACTGGGTATGTCAGCAGGCCTGCCGTGCCGCCGTGCTTCTGCTTGGCAGTCTTTGCCTGGGAGAGGTGAAAGAGACGAGGGGAAGAGATCTGAAATCTGACTTGAACCTAATTATACTGCTAAATTAAGAAAACTTTAAAACGAGCAAATTGCGATCTGAAGCCACCTGTCACAACGTCCTATGTCAGTTCGTTTTTAGCAATGTAACCATCTTCTGGCTAGCTTGCCTTCATGTTCCAGGCTGAGGGAGGAATAAGGTGAATCCATTTCACCACTGCCCCTTAGAGGACCCTGCACTGCTACTGTTCATTTATTTTATTAAAGTAAGGATATAGGGATTTATTGGTTCCACATCGGATAAATTCCGGGTTTCACAGACAAGGTCACAAGTTAATCATGAAATTAAATTTCTACAAATTAATATGAGTTAACATCAAAAGCCCTACTGCTTATACGTGGAGATTTGCCCAAAAGTCTCACAGCATGCTATGGTCATTCCTTCATTAATATTAATTAAATATTAGTGACCTTTTCTGTCAGTCTTATGCCATGGTAGGTGCTAGAGATATAGCGGTCAATAAGAAGTAGTCCCCTTCATGAGGCTTATAGGCCGTTTGGGAAGAGACAATTAAACAAGTAATAAGAAAGTGTAAGAAGTGCTCTAAGGGGAAGATTCCAGTGCTATGGGAGGATCTGATAGGGGCATCTAGCCTTTTCCATTGGGACAGTGAAAGGCGGAATAGTGGCAAAGAAGGGTGGGGTGAGGGTTGCTGAGGTCAGGGTTATTTCGAGGATTAATGAGTAACTTATATGTAAGGCGTCTAGAGCACATAATAGGCACTCAATAAATATTAATGCTCCTTACATTTTCCCTCTCCTGTGTAACTCCAATGTCCATTATTCTAATGTGAAAAGGCTATAAATCGAATGTGATGGCAACTTTTAAAAATTGTGTTATTTAAAATACAAAAAAGTAGCTGGGCATGGTGGCGCGTGCCTGTAATCCCAGCTACTCAGGAGGCTGAGGCAGGAGAATTGCCTGAACCCAGGAGGCGGAGGTTGCGGTGAGCCGAGATCACGCCATTGCACTCCAGCCTGGGTAACAAGAGCGAAACTCCGTCTCAAAAAAAAAAAAAAAAAAAAAAATTGGGTTATTTTCCAATTTGTGCATTTCCAAATTAAACTCCCATTATCTTTACCCAGTGATCATTATGAACTGGTATTTATCATGAACTTTGTAATTAGGAGAGGTAGTGAAGGAATTGTATGTTCAAACATTCATATTTCCTCTGAATGGCCTAGAGCATTGGCTGCTGTAACCAGAAACTATTTGAAGTATACTCAGAGAAGTTAAGTTTGTAACTAAATTATGAAATGCCAAAATTAATATGGCTAAGGAGAGAGGTTGTTGTATTTTCAGACTGAGCCTTAAAGAGTGTGGCGGGGCCTTGGGAGGGGATCCCCATGTTTGTGAGCTCATGAGCTTGGTCTCTGGAATAAACAAGTTTATAAATTCAGTCGCTCAGTTCATTCAGAAATAATCGAACGTGAGGGAAGTGATTCATATTAACTAAATGAGTAAGATTTGTCCACACACCCAAGTATCCATTTATTTTACAAGAGACGCTATATCTTAGGCCTTGAAACTTCACAGAATATTCCCACCTAATAAGTAGCTCTACTTCAGAGAACCAAACAACACGTCAGCAGTGTGCAGCCACAGCAGGGGAGTTCGTATTATGAAATCCATGTTTTTCCTACAAACAGGCAATCATCTACTAGTGGAAAGGCCTTTCCAGAATCAGTACATGCACTACTAATGTGCTATCAGGAGATATGTAGATGATGTTTTAAAGCAGGAATAGTTGCTACTAGATTAGTATTCAGTTCCTATAAAAAGGATTGCAGCATTATACTTAATGGTAGAATATTATGATAAAATGGGAAGGTATTGCCCAAAACCAAATTATGGCAGAGAAGATTATGAAAGGTTGTTTCTAATTTATGGCAAGTAATGAATCTAGAGCATGACCAGTACTGTCTTATTTATTAAGTGTCTTAGTCCACTCAGGCTGCTATAACAAAAATACCCAACTAGGTGGCTTATAAACAACAGACATTTATTTCTCACAGTTCTGGAGGCTGGGAAGTCCAAGACTAAGGCAAAGTCACTGCCTGGTGAGGAACCTTGTTCATGGACAGTGACTTCTAGCTCTGTTCGCACATGATGGCAGGAGCAGGTGGTCTCTCTAAGAGATTAGTGCTCTAAGAGATTAGTGCTTTAACAAGAGCACTAGTCTCACTCCTGATGGTCCCGACCTCATTATCTAATCGCCTCTCAAGAGCCCTACCTGCTAATACCATCATCTTGGGAGTTAGGTTTCAGCAAATAAATTTTGGGGGACACATTCAGATTACAGCATTTAGGCGTTGCCACTCTAAAGGTCTGTCTGTTTCTTTCTGTAGCATATGTGAAGGCTTGTAAAGATTGGCTTTTGAGGAAATCAGTGGTCCTGAATATAGGCTCAAAAGAAGCTTCAAACTGAAATTCATTTTGATGTAGTTGGGGGCTACATACTGTGGGGTTATCCAATTTGAAAAATAAATGGAAGTAAAGTACTATGAATTATCCAATTTATCTTTCTTGGTCGAACTTCTTAGAAAAAGTACAGCCCTAATTTTTCTGTGGGTTTGAACTGTTGCCTGGACTCAACTTGTTTAAGTGTTAAATAAAATATGTTGTCTCTTCTCTCTGCAATGAAAACATTCTTTCCTTACTGCCAGTTAATTCCAGTGGAAATGGGAGGCAACTTCAGGGTCCAGTAATCCAGAATTTGTGATTGTTTGTCAACTATAATGCGGTTGTTCAAGGTCATTACCATTATCCAAAGGTAACTGATTCAACTGTACACAGATAAAAACAATTGACATAATTTTTAAGTCAGAAGGAATCTTGGAAAAGCCTTTTATTTCCTGTTTAATACCCTGAAGCAGGAAGGTTAAAGATGCTGTTCAGGCCGGGCGCAGTGGCTCATGCCTGTAATCCCAGCACTTTGGGAGGCCAAGGCGGGCGGATCACAAGGTCAAGAGATCAAGACCATCCTGGCCAACATGGTGAAACCCTGTCTCTACTAAAAATGAAAAAAAAAAAAAAATAGCCGGGTACGGTGGAACGCACCTGTGGTCCTAGCTACTTGGGAGGCTGGGGCGGAAGAATGGCTTGAACCCAGGAGGCGGCGGTTGCAGTGAGCCGGGATTGCGCCATTGCACTCCAGCCTGGTCATAGAACAAGACTCCGTCTCAAAAAAAAAGATGCTGTTCCACCACTGGTGAGCAGCAGCAGAGCCAGGAGGAGAGTAAACTCAGGATCCCCAGAGCCGAATACAAAAACACACAGGAAGAGAAAAAGACCTCGTTGTCTGTTTATTAATCAGATTACTGGCATTTACCTTCCACTGATGTAAATGTTGTAATCGAGGTAGTCTGACCATGCAGGAAAGGATCCAACTTAATTGTGTGTGTTCAGACACCTAATGAAATAAAATAGAACATTAGTGAAGTGGCCAGTGTTTTCTGGCATGTAAGAAAAACTAAATAGTAAGTATTACCTTAAATGTCTGAAAATACCCCCAATCAATGTTATTATAAGAACAGGTGAAGGGGGCTTAGTTCTGATTCATGACAGATAGACTCTTAGGTGAAGAAGAAATAATACAAGCCAACTGATCTGATTATTAATCTAGTGTTTAAGTCTACTCCACAATACCCTTAGCAAGTGGGTAACCAGACTCTGCTTCAGCATCTTCAGTGAGAAAGTTTCATGATGTCCAGTGGCATCTATCTGTAAAAAGTCAAGCTTATTAAGAAAACACACACACACACACACACACACACACACTCTCTCTCTCTCTCTCTCTCACACACACACACACACAGTCTCACACACACACACACACAGACACGCGCATACTCACACACACATTTACACACTAGTTCCAAGCCTTTCTAAATAATTTCTAACTCTATCAAAGCAGCTATAGTACTTTCCATTTTGTAAATGGTGGGAAAAGGCACTGGACTTAACATTAAAGATTGAATTCTTTAGATCTAAGGTAATTTGAAAGTTAGAAATCACCTTACTCCATCACCCCAAAGGGTGTTTTTATCGTTTCTAGTTCCTCCTCTTCTTCCTTTTTCTTTTCTTTTTTTTTAAGAAGTCTAGTCAACAAGAAAATATAAACTTTCTCAAATTTGTTTTTGTTTTAACTGGATTTAATCAAGTTACCAAGCCTGATGACCTAGAATCCAAGGCCCATGCCTCCCATTTCTGGACTCTGGGGACTCCATCGACTGTGGCTTTTGTTTTTTATGTTCACATGATTTCCTTAAAAGCAGAGACTGTTGCCAACTCTGAAAAGTGGCCCCAAATGTGTTCTTTGTGGGTTTTGCAAAAAGAACATAAAGGAGTGGAGCTGAATCAGCCCAGGCCTGTTTTACTAGCAAGGAATTGCCATCTGCTGTAAGACAGTCTCTCATTTTTTTCCCTCAAGTCATAGAGAGGGAAGAGTTGTTTTTCACGGGTCTGACCAGGAATCACTTTTAAAGTTTTGCAATTCCCCGGGCCGAGTCTGTCATCTTTCTTCGAAGAGTCATTCGAGTTTCCTTGAGGGCAGTGACCCTGACACACTGTCCATGCAAATTGCTAACTGCTGCTGTAAACAAATATCTATCAGACAAAAACAGTGAACAACTCGCAACGCAGGCAAGAGGATTCGAGTTGCTTCCAATCACCAAGGAAAATACACTCCCATTAGAACTATTAAAACAAGAGCTGTTTTTGTGTCATGAAAAAGTAGGAGAGACTTTTTCTTTTCTTCTTTACTGAATTGGGAGAAAGAATGAAATCACAGATAATAACCATGAATATGTGGAAAGAGACGAGATGACGCCTCTTTAACTCTGATTCAAACGCTTAGCTTTGGTGATAAGCAAAAAGCTACCACCGTATCCCTATGAAGCTGAGCATTTTCCTTGGAGTGGCTTTTTATTTGGACATATGGAATGAAACTTACTTAATATTCTGCACAGATCTTCCTGGTGTTTCCAAAATTGTGAGCATAAAATGAATTCAAATCATCCTCATACAGAAAAAGTAGGTAAAAGGTCAACAGCAATTAATTTTTCACAATTAATTTTTCACAATTATATAAGAAGGGGAGGGTACTTCAGGAGTTCATTCAGGTTGTCTTCATTCATATTCATGACAATTGCTTGGAAAGGTTCAGATTTCCATTTGGGGGAAAAAGGGGAGATGGTATCTAAACATACTATTTTATTATTTATGTTGCAAAACCACAAACAAACTAGCTGTATAACCTGATTAGCCACAGAAAAGCACAAGCATGGACAATGAAGTGGCCTATTGACCATCCACAAACAAGTCAGCAGGAATGAGCAGAAAAGAAAGAACTGAAGATTTCAAACCTCTCATTCTAAAAGGGGCGTTCTTTGGGTGGGGCAGTCCTCCCTAACTTTTTCACAGCTGTGGAAGGTAACTTGATACACTGTAGATACTCAGGAAGTATTTGTTGAATGTGTAGACAATAGCAAAGCCTGTACAAAGAATAGGACCATTAGATTTGGCAAAAGACTTGGTGATCCAGGCAAAAGCAGTTTCCGGGGAGTGACTGGGATGGAAAGTAAACTGTAGTGGGCTGATGAGTGAGACTAGAAGGCAGGATATAAAGACAGATACACACGAAGCACTGCAGAGTAGCTAAGAGCTCAGTCTTTGGAGTGAGTTTGCCTGGGTCTGAATGCTAGGTCTGCCACTTAGGCACTGAGTGACTCTGTGTAAGTGACTTAATCTCTGTGTCTCAGTTTTCTCATCCATAAAATGAGGTTAACGGTAATATTGACCTGATGGTATGTAAACAGAACCCAGCACATAGTATCCACTCAATAAATAGTGGCTCTATTACAATTTTTAAAAATACTTCTGTTTTAACTTTTTAGATAATTGTATGTTCACATACAATTGTAAGAAATAATACAGAGTGATCCCATATACCCTTAGCCCAGTTTCCCTCCATGGCAACATCTTGCATAATTATAGTTTAATGTCACAATGACATAGAACTGGGGAAGGGAAGTGCTGGGTAGGGAAGGGAAGGGCCTGCTCTCTTTAAAGGATGTAAAGGAGGGGCAGGGCATGGTCTACGGCTAGGGCTCCACCCTTGGGCCTGCATGAACCTAGATGAGGATAAACATTTTTGTTTTCTTGGCCAAATGTTGCATTTTCAAAGACCACCCTGGTCTGCTCCACCCTCATCCTGTGCCTATAAAAACCCCAAGACCCAGCCAGGCGCGGTGGCTCATGCCTGTAATTCCAGCACTTTGGGAGGCTGAGGCAGGCAGGTCACCTGACATCAGGAGTTCAAGACCAGCCTGGCCAACATGGTAAAACTCCATCTCTACTAAAAATACAAATCTTAGCCGGGCATGATGGCAGGTGCCTTTAATTCCAGCTACTTGGGAGGCTGAGGTGGGAGAATTGCTCGAACCCAGGAGATGGAGGTCGCGGTGAGCCGAGGTCAGCCATTGCACTCCGCCTGGGCAACACAACAAGACTCTGTCTCAAAAAAATAAAAAGTAAACATAAGAATAATTAAACCCAAGAATCTAGCAGGCAGAAACCAGGCCCTGGACGTGAGGGGAGCGTATCAGCAGAGAACACCAGACACACAGGTGGCTCGACTGGTACCGGCACACCCACAAGCCACTGACAGCAAAACAGCACAGAGTTTGTGTGGGGCAGTGGGAGGAGAACCCTGGCTACCAAGCTGCCCAACTCCAGGCGACAACCATCTCCCCTTTGGCTCCCCCATCTGCTGAGACCTACTTCCACTCGATAAAACCTTGCACTCCTCCAAGCCCACGTGTGACCCATTTCTTCTGGTACACCAAGGCAAGAACCCAAGGATACAGAAAGCCCTCTGTCTTTGCGAGAAGGCAGTGGTCTAACTGAGCTGACTAATCCTTTACAGACGGCTAAACTAAAAGAGCACCTGGGGATACAAGCCCAAGGGGGCTTCAGCAGTAAACATTCACCCCTAGCCACAGCCGTGGGGTCAGAGCCCCACACCTGCCCGTCTGTATGCTCCTCTACTGCAAGCCACTCCCCCCGTCGCACACCCTGTGAGGGGGACAAGGGGGCCTTTCCTGTGTCAACAAGAAGAAGATTCTGCATTTGATGCAATCCTTCTGCCCTGTTTGGATTTCACTAGTTTTACAATGCATGAATTGTGTGGGGTATGTTTAGTATGCACATTAATCACATGTGGAAGACATTTGTTTTTCAAGGAAGTATTGTGATGGGATTACTGGTAGGAGTTAGAAAATAAACATTTCCTTTTGTTTTCTAAAGTGAGATAATGTACTGTCGATGTACTGAGCAGAGGGAGAGCCACTAAAGATTCGGGAAAGGGGATAATTCAAAGAACAATATTCCTGACGGAGGAAAAGGAATGATACTTAACAGAGATAAAACAATGGATGATGAAATATCTTCTGTATCTTCCACTGAAAGAGGAGACGGGGCATGTAAAGACAGATGAGGACGTATCTTGTGAGCTCAGAGTGGAGAACAGAAAGTTTTAGAGGAATCCACATCTATCAGACTCTGTTATCTCTGAAAATAGAAGACAGGGTGCTTATAAATAAATGAGGGTAAGAAAAATACTCAAGAGAATTTCTGGGTTTGATAAAAAAGAACAAAAGCTTTTATGGAATGGAGTTATATAAGACTTGAATTGATATTTTGTGGATGAAAGAAGAAAGCTGATACATAAATTATACTCTTGGGGAAACTGATATTCTTTACAGTGGCCTAAAATATTCTGCCTAAGTTATAATGGATATTTAAAAGATTTGTAGAAAAAATTAAATCAGTTGATTGCATTTTAAACTGGCTTTAGCCAGTAAAGACTTTAATAGGATCCAAAAATGAACTAAATATAAAGCAAAAAATCTTGGTAAATTAAACTACCTTCCAATTAAGAACTTTTGTTTATTAAAATTCACCATTTAAAGGGTGAAAAGGCAAGCAATAGACTGGAAGAAGATTAATTGCAATACCTACACAGAATATATTGGTACAGAGAATATGTAAAGGACTCCTACAAATTTATAATAAATAAGTAGATAACCCTATGAGATTAGCAAAATATGAATAAGTAATTCACACAAAATAAGATCTCCAAATGACAAATTAATATATCAGAAAATACTCAGCTTCAGAAATCATCAGAAAATGCAAATTACATGCATTAAATGCAAATTAAAGCCACAATATGATACCAATAAAGATTCATCAGAACGATTAATGTGAAGAACCCGACAGTATCAAGTATGTCAAGGGCGTTGAGTAAATGGAACACTTAACTCTCACACACTGCTGTAGGACTGTAAATTGTTACACCAACTTCAGAAAATGCTCAACATTCACATACACCATGACCCAAGTATTCCA